GGTCGTTTATTATAAATTCAACAGTATCGATCTCCATTTTTCTTTATCCAATGCAGCAAAACCAAATTAATTCCAATCAGAAAGTGTGCCTTAGGCAAAATTGAATAGATGGACTATTAGCAACCATGATTAAATGGGAAAGTTTTGTTAGGCAAACAGGTTTATTTTAACGAAAAATAACTTTTCCAACAGGTTATATATCATGACATAATATTTGTGCACGAGAAATAGCAAAAAGGTGCAGCCGTAATAAAATACTAACCAAATCCTTTATTTTTAATTCATGAGGCACTGGTTTGCCCATTCTATCGTACAGATTAAAGTGAAAATTCTCTTTACGATTTGTTAGCACCCCTTTTGTGCAAATTCATGTTCTAGAACTAGACTACTAGTATATTTCAAGGTCAATTAGTATCTACCTAGAAGACGAAAAATTAGGGTTTCCTTTCAGCCACCCTGAAAAGGAAAATTCACTTATCGTATTCGCCTATTCTACCATTATAGTCACAGATATTTCAGTTGGCATGAATCAGGTTTCGCATTCAGTGCAGAATAAAAAAACTAGATTATATATGTAACAAAATGGGATGAAAACTGAAAGCACCATTCCATTCACTTGGTCAACAGTGTTTGCCAACTAAAGGCTCCTTAAATGCAAAAAATAGACTTGGCGCCTTCACTAACTGTTGACTATGATAAAATCTGTCCTACGTTAATTTCTACAGTCAGGTGAATATGCAAATCCACGAGAACAGTACCCGGGCCTCTGAACCGCTGTTAAAATTAAGGACATGACAATCGGCTACCCTTGGTTTTCAAAACAGGAATCTTCCCTCGGCGACAATATCGTTGAAAACGGGGTGGGCTATTGACATACTTCCACGTGGGGCACCCTGGGCAACGTATACTCATACCGCAAAAAAGTCTATTAATCGGCAGTTGACTTTAAACTACCATGACCCCACTATATGTCATATTCGACCCCTTCCACATTACTCACCTCACCTTTTTCCACCTTTGTGTCTGTCTCTGTTACGTCTTTGAAACACTCTTCTGTCCCCCCCCCCCCCACCCCTCTCAACTTTTTACCTTTGATTTTCATTCCCCTCTGTGGAACCTGAAGTCAACTAAAGGGCCAATGGTAACTATCAAAAAGCCTGCCATTTGATATAAATAAATAAATATTATCGAAAACTCCCTACTCTCGTCGGAATCTTATCTTGGCTACACTTTTTATTCAAATGCATTCACTAAAAAATTTAATTTGGAAGTATGTAATATGGGGAGTGCACAACGCTACAGACGGACACGAAAGTGCTGCGTGTTACTAGTCGCGAAGGGAGTGAGTACGGTCGTAAGTGCAGAGATCTCTCATCCAGCCACCAATCAATAATCTCCGCATTGTTTAAAAAAACCTTCATATGTTTTAATTACTGCGCTTTGTAGCTGAAACACCCAAAATTCGTGTTTCCCACGAAATGTCTAATTCCTCTACATTATTGAAGGTATTGAGGGTAAGTCATGGCTTTTTCGTGTAATAATAGCCAGAAATAGTAGATGGGGTTAAATTACAGTGCCTTTTTTATAAATTCGACACTATTATTTAAACCAGCAAATACATTGATTGTTTATGTTTCCAAGACCGGAGTTTAGAAAAAGTTTACTGAATCGATGTAAAAGTTAAAGAGAACTAATATTTAACGCGGATGAATTAAAGGAGCTCGTAATCTACCGTTTCTAGAGGAATTCGAAACAATTTTTTTCTTTGAGCTACCTGATGGAGGAAGGAAAAAGAATAAAAGTAATGCTAAAATAACATGAGAAGACTTGGAACAAGAGGTTGAGCTGGTGCGAATAATGGGGTCAGGTTGGAAAAACTCTCTCTATATTTGAATTCCGGAGGTATTGGGTTGTCTGTTCTTAAAAGAGATATACTGCAATCGGTCGTTGACTCAGAGCTCAATTCCTCACTTTTCATGACTTGATCTCGGAATCATTGAATCAGTTCATGTCCGCGATATTGTGAAATTTTTATTTAGTAAATTTAAGTCAATCATTATTCATGCCTCCTTCATCCAGTTGCATATTCAAACAACCAAGTTTTAAACATGATGCTTTTTTGGTAGTTACGAATAGGTGCAAGAAGGAATAGACGACCTTTAACCCTTTAGCGCCATTAGAACCATACGGTTCTCCTTCAAAATAAGCTCCATTGGTACTAGACTCATAACAGAAGGCGCAATCGACGTTTGAAACATATTCAATACACGTCTTTAGTCTTCGCCTCACACCACCAAAGCTCATCACGTCGTCGGCATCTATTTGCTTTAAGACTCGCGTGAGTGCGGTTGGGTGCATAGGTCAAAAATAATTAAGACGCTTAAGGGTTAAACATAACAAAGCCAACTGGATGAACATCCAAGGTGAACACTCTTTTCAGTTTCTCTTTTTTAAATCACAAGAGGGTGGGGCGTGGGGGGTGGGGGGTAATCATGATACTTGCACTTGATTTAGTGTTAACCTATGTCCGCATTCTTGGTGCCACACCGTAACGAATGTTTTTAAACACCAAATGTTACCTCTAAGTCATTTTACCTTGAGACTGGGATTCATTATTCAAAAGTTTTTTTTTCAAATTTCCTCCCTGGAGTGAATTGTGAACTTCACTTGAAATGCCGATAATTGAATTAACAAACTTCTCCCAAAAAAATTGAAGTCAATCTAAACTATTTTTTAACTAACGATTTTCGAGATTGCGTTTTCCTATGTTTCATTTAATGAAAATTTTAAATACTATTTTAACAATCGTGATTAATACTCATTCCGATGCCAGACTTTTCACTACGAAATTGTCGCTTTTGTTTTATGGCGGATTTGTTCACGCATGAATCACCATATTTCCGAAATTCTGAAAGTAAGCACAAGTAAACCAAAAATTTGATATAAAAATATTTAATCAAACTACGTTTACTTTTTGTGCCTAAAAGTACGCATAAAGTAAATAGTCAGTCTTCATATAACAGAATTAAAATAAAAAATATGCCGAAAATATTGTACAATCCTTCTTCTAATCGCATTCGATTTGTACATTTCGGAATGAATTTGAACCTCTGCCATAAAAAGGAGCTCTTGACTCAACCAACATTTTACTCAGGGAGCGAGTCTAACGTTATGCCAAGATTTGTTTTGTATTAATAAAAGCAAAAACAAGGAGACTACAATGGAAATTCATATATTGTAATATCGCCTCCTATTAGCGGAAAAAGCTGCGTTAATTACGATTACTAATGAAAAGATTTCTTAATCAATATCAATGTTCATTAGTTCTTAGTTAAATAAAGAAATTCTACGGCACTGTTCTAGAAATAACTTAAATACAATGATAACAATCAAAAACTTCGCAGTTGTATTTGGAATTTTCTTAGTTTATTTATTTATATCAAGTCACATCACTTATATTTTTCTTGTTTATGTAATCCACATTAACACCTTTAGCAATTGCGTATAAAATAAACACTTTAGTATCTAAATGTTGTTTATTGTGCTATACGTGCGAAGCTGTCAGTAATTACACTAGTGTGACGGGGAGGAGTTTGATCTCATTACATGACTTGATGACAAGTGGAAAGTTCAAGCTTGCTGCACATTCAATAAAATAAGAATAATTTATCAAAAGTTGTCTGCAAGAAATATTTGTGATTGTTTATTGTCCAGAACTATTGCATCGAGTCTCTAGTTGCAGTCATATAATAGTGAAAGCCTGTAGCATGCCATACCAGTTCATCGTCGTGTCGAAAATTTACCGCGCCGATTATACATTGAGCCTTCGGTAGTACCCTTTGGGATAAGTATCTACACCTACAATATGCTAGGCAATTATTGAAGTAGTGATAACACAGATCGTTTAGTGTAAAATGAATTTACTGAATATATAGTTAATTGCAAAATAGGATTACGATTGAATACGCTTAGTTTATAATTAAAACAATCGTCTATTCGTTTATGGGATTCCACATCCACTCACTCACAAATTTTAAAAGATAATTTCATAATTTCAATAACGGGAAACTTGGCAATAAGTAACAAAATAGGTTGTTACTCTTGTCTGTTTCATAAAATGATGAAAACTAAACTAATCACAAGTGAAAATTCGAATTCGAACACAGTAATGAAAAGGACGCGCAATTGTTCTTATTTATTGGGTTTTCTTTTCTTATGGTCTCAGGCAACTTTAGTTAATAACAAAGTATATATAAGGAAAGTTTGCATTAGGAAATTAGGTGTAAATTCAAAGTAAGTTCATTTGAAAGATTGTTCTAACGGAGAAGATATCTGTTAAATTTTCCAACATTGTCAATTAGATTGTTTAATTAAGTCTAAGGTAATTATATAAAATCGATACCTTCAAAGCCAATCGCTTTTTAAATAAAGCAGTATAAAAATATAATAATTAAATATACATTATTAGATCTTGAAATGGGATTTTATTAATCAAATAGAAATAATTGAAGGACAAATGGATATCATTATATTCGAAATTCCTTGCTATAGTTTTAATAGATTATTTGTCATAGCATTTTTATTACTGTGTAATTAGCTGTACAACTGAAATATAATTATTTCCTCAATGATGAAATATGATTTAGATTTTTCTAATGAGGACTGGATGGTAATATAGTATTACTATTCGAGTTTTTTACCACTCTGTCAAATGCTTTACTTCAAAAATATTAGTCAATAATCATTTATAACTAATAATTAAAATTCTAAAATATTATGACACAGATCTTTTTAATTTCAATAATTTACATTAAATAAGGATTTGGTTTTAATGGGTAACATAAGTTAACCTTACGTCATTTATCACAGTCCGATCATTCGATCATTTTTGGGGTTAGTGGTTGGTGTATGCATTTCGGATAATCTTGCTTCATTTAACTTCTACGTAAATCAACTAACTCTGCTCTCTCTGTGTTTTTATTGCAGGTTAATTAGTTTAAATGACTTCTGGAGACATTGAAAATATTAAAATCGACATTGAAGAGCCAAATGAAGGCCATGTGCCTCAGATGCCATTCTCCTGGTTCAATGCCATCCTATTGGTTTTCTTCGGATTCTCTTCTTGGATCGCTATTAACAGTCTCTGGGTAGAATTACCATTGTTAGTAAATGTTCTTCCAGAGGGCTGGAACCTTCCTGCATATCTTTCAATTCTTATCCAGGTATGCTCATAAATTTGTCTTTTGTGCTATGCCACTGTGTGGATTTTCGATGTTTTTTTCTTTTAACATTGGTAGATTGCAAATATCGGTCCCTTGGCTTATGTGCTTTTTACACGTCTTTGCAATGCTCTAGGTCACTATAAAAGCGATAACATCTTCAAGCGACTTGTTCAGCCTCCTGAACGTCTTGCAAATTACAGTATTCTAATTATCGGTGTGATTGCTTGTCTCTTGTTGATGAAATACTGGGATGTAAGTTTATTTCTTAAACTGAGTGCAACTTAGAATGGATTCGAATATTCTAACTTAACTTTGTTATGTATAGGCTGTTGTAATGATGACTGGTTTGCCTGCAAATGCTGTTTATGGTCGACCTGTCACACCAGAGGCCTTGCATAACCACAGTCTTGGTCTCTTTTTGCTCACCTTCTTTTTGGGTATGATCGATTGTATGTCAAGTGTAACCTTCTTGGCGTACTTGGCTAATATTCCAGCTGTATATGCTGGTGCTTTGCTCTTCGGTGAAACCGCTTCAGGTCTTCTGCCCAGTCTCTATGCCCTTGGTCAAGGAGTTAACTCGGAGTACAAGTGTGGTAAGTTTCATATTTCTTATTATGCATCTTACGTTAAATCACGTCGCTCATTGTCTACATTACTCAACTAGTAAATGGAACGGCAATCTATTCAGACCCTCGATTTGGAGTGTCAACTTTCATGGGTCTGGTTGCAGGCACAACCGGGCTTAGTTTGCTGGCCTTCATCCTGTTGGACTGCTTGCCCTCTGGTTTGGGTAGATCAGTGACACTTGCCTATCAACGCCATCACTCAGTTCCTACTTCAAATGAGCAGGCTAATCAGCAGCAGGCTACCAATCAATCGAGTAATTCTAAAGCTCTCTGCTGGGTTTGCTTTGTGCTGATGGGCTATGCAAGTTGCTTAACCAACGGCCTGTTACCTTCTCTGCAGTCCTTCTCAACAGCTGCTTATAGCTCTAATACCTTCCACTTAGCTGTCACGTTATCTGGTATAGCAGCACCAATTGTTGCTTTAGTAACCACTGCTATCTATGGTTATGATCAACTTGGTCTCTGTGTTCGTTCAATCCTTCGCTGCCTCTGTCGTTCTACTGTAAGTTCTCTTTTGTAAAACTACTCTGTTGTCTCTTTATCAGCTGTGTAATATTCACTTTATCTTTTCAGAGTGACTCCGAAGGTGAGAACAATGAAAAGCAGTCAGCTATGGCATCAATTGTTGGCGGTCGCTTGGCTGTGACATTGACAGCGATCGGTGTCATGGGTAGTGTATTTGCCTGCTATGCTATTTATTTGGCCAAAGCATCGCCTAACCCACCTGAAATCTACGGAGGTGGCCCTGCAATAGCTGTGAGTTTCCCTTAAGAATCTTTTAATTTAATGGGTCATGCCTATCTAACGAATACCACTTTTTTTTAGGTTTTGACATGGGTAATGTTGGCAGTCACTTTTGGTGTACAAAAGACGTGGATCACTCTTCATATGGTGAAGTATGGTAGTCAGAGAAATCTGCGGAATCTTGGTATTGCCACCCAAATTGGAGCTTTTATGGGATCGTTGATTAGTTTCCTCCTCACAGCCAAGTTAAATTTATTCACCTCAAAGAATCCATGCTCTTAAAATTGGCCGATCTCGCTGCATAGCTGACCCCTTGTATAGTTTCATTTTTGGACAAAGATGTCGCAACTGGACTTTTCCCCATCATTTACTTTCTTTTTCAATCTTCTGGCATTTTAAACAAACGAAAATCTGTCCTCAATTAAGCATTATTTTAAAATTATTATAGTTGGTTTTCTGATATGGAACTACTGATTTAGTGTAATGTTTATATCGGTGTTGATTGCTACTGATAATGGGTCATGCGTTGTCTCCTTCGCTTCAATCATTAAGCTTCATAAGTTGAACTTATTTTATGTATGATACAATTTTCTATGATCATTTTCTTACCTACTTCTAAACGGTAAAATGATGTACTTAGACTCTTTGTCTAAAAGGGCCAAGATTTTTCAACGTACGTGTCTATGTCTTTAGGTGTGGGGTGTGCGATAGGCTTACCTCCACGTGGTGCACCCTGGGCAACGTATACTCATACAGCAAAAAAGTCTATTTATCGGCAGTTGACTTCTGATTTCAAACTACCATGACCCTACTGTATGTCATATCCGATCACTTCCACCATACTTATCCTAGCTTTTCTCTGCCTTTGTGTCTGTCTGTCTTTTTAACATCTTTAAACACTTCTGTTCACCCCCCCCCCTAGACTTTTTTTCAATTTGATGTTCCTCTTCCTCTGTGAAGCCTGAAGTCAACTAAAGGGCTAATGATAATTAACATTTATTTATTTCAAATGGCAGGCGTTTTGATAGTTATCATTAGCCCTTTAGTTGACTTCGGGCTTCACAGAGGGAAGGAACAACAATGTGACAGAAAGTCGAGGGGTGGTGAACAGAAGAGTGATTTACAGATGTAAAGAGACAGACATGAAGGCAGAGAAAAGGTAGGATGAGGACTGCGCCAGAAGTCAATCGCCAGTTAATAGACTTTTTTGCCGTATGAGTATACCTTGCCCAGGGTGCACCACGTGGAGGTAAGTCTATCACGCACCCCATGATAATTAACATAAAGCCTGCCATTTGATATAAATAAATAAATACCTTTAGGTGAACTTGATTGAGTACATAACTACCAGTCTGGTGGCTTAAAGTGAAGGAATGAGTGACAGTTGAATGCAGGAAGTTGAAATCTTCAGATAATAAGTAATTTATCCACCTCCTACG